AATATCTATCAACAATCTACCTAAAATATCCTAAAATCCACTAAACTTCGTCAAAATGCTCAGCTAATTTTATGTTCGCGCAGGGGCTCCATCCTCGCTAGGCCACTCGCATCCGAAGACAAGGCTTCGCTCATCGCAGGTCTCTCGCCAACTTCGCTGCCAGGCTTGCTGGTGGCTGGTTTCCCTGTGAACAACTTGGATGATAGCGTGGGGTCCCCCATTTTTAGGAATCCCAAATCTTTTGATGCTTTTCGGAAACAACTTCTACGAAAACTTGGACCCCAATTGCTCGGAGGATGATGCTCCTTAATGGCAATTTGGTGGACTAAGATTCGCCTCTTATGATATTCGATTCGATTGTCTTTCTGAGCCACTCGGTTTGCACGGCCCCATTTTTTTGTTTGGCTCCCGCAAGTCAAGTTGAGCCTCCGGCGATGGCGCCCTGCTGCGAGGTATGCCTCGTTGCTGGCTAGCCCAGAGGCGCCCATCTCGAAGGAGACCTATGAGACATTTCAAGCGGTTTGTTGGGAGTAGACACATATCATCAACTTATGAATACAATCCATACACACAAACACCCCGTCAAGATATGTCAGATATTGTCAAGATCAGAAATATCGTTTGCGTAAAAAACCTTGTCACCAGGCACGGACAGAAGCGCGCAGACACGCACAGCTCTAAGACAGACCTAGCTGTCAAACTGGATGCAAAAAAATGTCTACCTCTATTGTTCGTGTATGGTGCCCCATCTTGGGATACCAACATATCCTTAAAGCATAGGCACTGATAGGACGTTACCGCCTGCATTTCCGCCAGTTCTCCGAGGCTAAAGACCTGACGGCGTCCTGTAAAGCAATCAGTGAGGTCGGATCCCGAAAAGGAGAACATGGGACTCCAAAATTCGAATAGAACCAATACAAAACCAAGGTTTCTAAGGATGTATCTAGTAGATATAGGATGATCTAGGGGGAAAGGGAGTACAGCGTTTGGTGTTTGATTCAGCCCTTGGACAGGTTGCAACAGCTGGTGGTGTTTCCGCAGAAGATGTGCGAATTGGACATTCGAAGGCAGGAGAACCGGCACCCACTTCGACCAAAGGAGTGAACGGTCCAGTGAAGTCTGTGGCAGGTCTTCATGCGCGAACCGGCACTGGCATGGTTGGAGGGAAAGAGGTGGGATGGACATGTTCTCGTTTTCACAGCTGTACATGTTTGTACACTTTTTAGGTTTTATTGAAAGCTGTTGCTTTTCTGCGAGGTGCTTGAAATTATGAAAGCTCTTGTTTCCAAGTCTGGCGTATCAAGCTTTTCAATCGGCCAATGAGTTTTTTCTGCATCATTGAAGCAATTCGAGTCATCAAGCCCTTGAATTGACAAAGCCCCCTAAAAATTGGGCGACTCGCCCCACATGGCTCGGATATCTTTTCCCATGTAATTACCCCACAGTTTAATGTGGAAAAAGACGCTGAAACCAACATCTAAGATCTGGGACCAACATCACCCATCCCAGGTGAACACCAGGGTACCATGATGTACCATGTCACGGTGCTTCCATATCTGACCCAGGGTACCCACCGTTTCTATGCCTGGACAGCAGGTCTGCTTTGGCCAAGATGGTGCTCTCAAGCGCTCTCCGCGGCCATGTTTGCAGGTGAGGCTGTTTGGCCTGCGAAGGTAACAGCTTGTTCCATGGAGAAACGTCTCCGGAATTCTTCCCCTGAAAGCGGGAAAAGGCGATTCACAACTTTGATCATGTACTTTAGCGTGGTTTGATTTTACCAACAAAAATAGAACTGATATATACAACCTTATATAATAACCTTATATAATAACCTTATATAACTTAAGCATTTGATAAACTCATTGAAGTGATATAACCATAACCAACAGATCATGGAGATGTCACGCCTTGGAGCTTTTCCCCACAGCTGCCGAGGCGCCGCTTTCTGCAGCTGCGAAGGAACATCCTGCGGCTTCAGGCCATGATCAGAGGCTCTGCAGCTCGACGAGCGGTGACTTGGCCCAGCTCGACGGTGCTTGGAAAAAGGAGGATGAAAATCATTTACTGTAAATGACTGTTGAATACTGTTGATATTCAATTCTCATTGGTCATTTCAATGGTTATTGGAATATCCATAGCATGATTATAGGATTATGAATATCAATGGTTATTTCTCATTGGTTATTTCATTTTTTTTCATCATATGTTTTTCCCTGGAGAGCGGAAGACACTCTTACAATCCGAAGTGCCAGTTGCGTGGCATAAGTTGGCATGTGATAGTGTTCTGATCACTGTCTACACCAGCATGGTCTTGATATGCAAACACTACATCCACAGGCATTTGCGTGTGAAAACTGGCCTGTATCGGGGTCGTGCTAAGAGGTACAAGACATCCAAAAAGCATGGGATTTACACTGCGAAAAGAATGCAGTTTGGAATATACTTGGCACAATTTTTGGTCTATAGGGTTCAGCTTTCTGATTTCCACCGGACAATTTGCTGCTTACAGGAATGCCAATAGTTGGGAAGTTGAAACTATGGTTTCCCGCAAAACAAACCCTGCAGTCAGTCCAGTGATCAATCCCAATGATCACCTCCACCTAGTATCAAATACTTCCAGAAAGAAATGTTTAGTAATTATTGGATTCAACTGTGTAGAATGCTTAGAACTATAGTATGAATGGATTTATCTGATAAAAAGGGGGGCATCTTTAATACTGTACATAATACTATATAAACATGTAGATTTACATGCTCTATGGTCACCGCCTACCCTAAAGGTCCATTGAGGGTTATTGATATTGTAATGATTAGATGGCTTAGATATAGCTAATATACAATTGTCTGAGCCAATATATATATATATACACATACACACATACACAGACAGACAGACAGACAGACAGACAGACAGACAGACAGACAGACAGACAGACAGACAGCCATGCATGCATACATGCATACATGCATACATGCATACATGCATACATGCATACATGCATACATGCATACATGCATACATGCATACATGCATACATGCATACATGCATACATGCATACATGCATAAATGCATACATGCATACATGCATACATGCATACATGCATACATGCATACATGCATACATGCATACATGCATACATGCATACATGCATACATGCATACATGCATACATGCATACATGCATACATGCATACATGCATACATGCATACATGCATACATACATACATACATACATACATACATACATACATACATGCATATAATATACACATACATATGTACATATGATTATATATATAGAGGTATGTATGTGTATGTATTGGATGCTTCAGGCTGCTTGAGGCATGCTAACCCCATTGAGGATGGCACCCAGTCGTCTTAGCGTCGGCTCAGGCTGCATCGCTTCGCCAGCGCCTGGCAGAAGAGCGGGCCATTCAGCTGGCGGCGCAGCAGGAGGTGTTGGGGAGGAGACTCCATGGCTTGCCTGTGGTATTGTTACATGGGTATGATTCTATGATATATTCATATAGGGTACGTATATGGTATGTATTAACTTGTATTATCTTAATAACACTATATGCGATGAATGATTAATCAATAGATAGGAATATATCAATCTATCTGGGAATGGGTATGGGTCAAAATTACCGTATGGGTATGGGTAGCTATAACATATTGATAATATGGTAGTATTATATGTTAATATCTCTACTTATTTACCAACATGTACATATAGACTTCTGTGATTTTCACACAACCACACACACACATACATACACACACACATACATACATACATACATACATACATACATACATACATACATACATACATACATACATACATACATACATACATACATACATACATACATACAACATACATACATACATACATACATACATACATACATACATACATACATACATACATACATACATACATACATACATACATACATACATACATACATACATACATACATACATACACACACACATACATACATACATACATACATACATACATACATACATACATACATACATATATATATGTATACACATATACATCCAAAAGTGCATAGATACATGCAAATGTATAGACAGATGCCTATGTGCGATGTTTTTCAGCAAACGATCGGCTTGTTGTAGGCAGCTGCTCAGGCACGAGCCCTGATCAGAGAGGACCGCTGGATGATCCACTGGCTGGAAAGTCTTCAAACGAAATGGATGTTTATAGCTGAGAAAATCATCTATTATTCAAAGTTAGTTTGATGGCTAATAAATGGCTGATGGCATATTAATGGTGATTATGATGGTGGTTAATAGTGGTTGATTAATGGAGCATCTTCCCCATTGCTATCCGAATTTTCTCCGGCAGGATGCTGCTGTCCAGCTTCAGAGCTTTTGGCGCAGCAGGCGCAGAGGGATTTTTTTCATGGCTTGGATTGACACAAAAACCAGTGAAATTCGAGACCTCCAACCTGCTATTTTTGTTTATTTTTGGTTCTAAAACATACAAGTTTTGGCGGGCTCAAAGTGAAGCCTGGATTTTGAAGCCTCAAAGTCTTCAGAAATCATGTGTGCTATTGGATGACGAGGCGGGCGCGAGGAGAATGCAATGCAATGCGCCAGGGACTTAAGGGAGATGGAGATGGAACGCAAGAAATGGCCAAGAAGCAATGGTTCCACCAATGGTTCCACCAATGGTTCCTGGTAGTTCCGGAGCTTTCTTCGGCATTGGTACAACCTCCAGCCATGTCTCAGGGACCGCATCATCAGAGCCCCACACTCAGTGATGAGGTTGTTGTCTTAACATGTTGTGAGCAGCACATCCTTGGTCTTAACATGGATCTCCCAGGCCCTTGCAACATGAATGGCCTGTGAGAGTGGAGGTCTCCCCACTTCAGGAGGCTCCAGTGATGAATCTCATCCAGTATGCTTGGAGTTGGCCTTTACAACCACCTAACCGCCTAACCACCTTGGGGTTGTGACACTTGTCCAAAACTAAGCCCATTGAATTCATTTGGAACCTGAAGCACCAGGCTCGACGGGCCGATGAGCTGGAAGCATCATCCACCTCACTACCTCCCAGAAGTCTGTGCAGAAGGCCCAAGTTTTTGGGGTGAAAAACGATTTCAACCGGTGGTTTTGTTTGTTGCGCACTCGGTCTTGATATTATTAATTATTATTGTTGTTACCAGTAGTACCGCACAAGGCGGTGGCGGAAGTTTCAAAAATAGGAAACCTATAGGAGAGGTCGGTTGTTGTGAATCACGGATGGCAGAGCGAACCCACTGATGGACCGAAAGGTGGTTGGAGTTGGAGTTGTGTTTTCTGGAGTGGCTGCAATGGTTGCAGTGGTCACCTCACCACAACTGCTGGATGTAGTGTGGTGTAGTGCAGTTGTAGTTGTAGTCTAGTGTTGTGTAGTGCAATGTAGTGGTAGTTGCAGTTGTAGCGTAACGTAATGCAATTAGTGTAGTGTAGCGTTGTGTAATGTAGTGTAGTTGTAGTTGTATTTGTAGCTGTAATGTACTGCAGTTTAATTAGTGTATTGTAGTGTAATGTAGTGTAGCTGTAATTGTAGTTGTAGCTGTGGTGGTGGTGGTGGTGGTGGTGTTAGTAGTAGTAGTAGTAGTAGTAGTAGTAGTAGTAGTAGTAGTAGTAGTAGTAGTAGTAGTAATAGTAGTAGTAGTAGTTGTTGTTGTTGTTGCTGTTGTAGAAGTTGTAGTGTAATTTGTTTAGTGTACTGTAATTAGATGTAACTAGTGTAGCGTAGTGTAACTAGTGTTGTGTAATGTGTAGTAGTAGTGTAGCGTAGTGTAGTGTAGTGGTACTTGTAGTTGTAGTTGCAGTTGTAGTTGTCTCTCTATCTGTCTATCTGGAAGCTTTCTGCGAGACTTCCTCAATTTTTGAACTTGACAACGTCAAAAACGAAGCAATTCTGCGAGACTTCCTCATTTTTTGAAGTTGGCAACATGAAAAACGAAGCAATTCTGCGAGACGTCCTTCCAAAATGGAAAGTTGAGTGCAGAGCTGACGGCCTCGTGCCAATGCGTTTTGCGATTTTTCCAGTCCATCTGTCTAAACTACTGCGCCTGCCACGAAAAAGTGATGCCAGGTCATACGAAGTGCTGCACCTGTCACGCAAAATCATCTCAGCAAACCTGAAGATCTGATGAACATGTCTCTTGTATTGCGCCTGCCACGGAAAAGGCATCTTTGCAGATCCCCTGCAAATGTCCCACGCCTCAAAACCCTCACGTTTTGCTCTTGCACAATCCCTTGCGCCTGCCACACGAAACGACATCTGAACGTCCAAAAATGGTCCGAACCCCTGGTGTTTTGTACATTTTGACTTCGAAATGTGCTTCGCGCCACAACGGCGTGCACTTTTTCGACATCTCAACCTCCAAAAGCGGTCCGAACGTGAGGTGTTTTTCACTTTTTCACTTGCAAATGTGCTTCGCGCCACAACGGCGTGCACTTTTTCGACATCGCAACTTCCAAAAGTGGTTCAAATCTGGTGTGTTTTGTACATTTTGACTTCGAAATGTGCTTCGCGCCACAACGGCGTGCACTTTTTCGACATCTCAACTTCCAAAAGCGGTCCGAACGTGAGGTGTTTTTCGCTTTTTCACTTGCAAATGTGCTTCGCGCCACAACGGCGTGCACTTTTTCGACATCGCAACTTCCAAAAGTGGTTCAAATCTGGTGTGTTTTGTACATTTTGACTTCGAAATGTGCTTCACGCCACAACGGTGTGCACTTTTTCGACATCTCAACTTCCAAAAGCGGTCCGAGAACGGTGTGTTTTGTACATTTTGCCTTCGAAATGTGCTTCGCGCCACAACGGCGTGCAATTTTTCATTTCTCATCTGGCCAGATGGCTCCGCACCCGCCGCTTTAGCGAGCCTACTTTTCGACCCTCCGGAGCCACAAATCATTGGAAAAACACAGTGTTTCGCGACTTCCTACCTTTTCGCGCATCTGCATCTTCTTTCTTCTGACTCTTTCTCTTCTCTGATCTTCTCTCTCTTCCATTCTTCTCTTCTCTTTGACTCTTCCCATCTCTGCTTTTCATCTGTCCATATTGTCGGAAGTTTGACTTCTAAACTTCCTTCGATTATTTATACCATTTTTTTTTGGAGATTTGCTGAACGAATAGAGATTTGCACAACTCATATCACCCAGACCTGCATCACCAAGCCTGCATAGGCACGTGGGAGAAGTTCGTGTGTGCGTGCCAACCCGCCGTCAAGGGAAGAGCAGGCAGGGCCGAGTAGCCGATTGCAAGAGTGTTGCAGCGTTGATCTTTGGTTTTTGTGCATTTTGAAGAGCCAAAAGGAAGGAGAAAGGCTCAATTCCGAGGTCTATAGTTCCATTCCAGTTTTCGTTCGATGAGCGTCTAGGCCTTTGGCGTATCACGAGATTGTGGCTGGCACACCGCGAATCAGTCGAGCGCAGGCTCAATGTTGTGTCCTTCCACAAAAATTCAGTTGGATGTGGCAAGACACCTCGACAGGAGTCAACGACCTCTGTGCCGCAATGCGCTCAAAGAGTGTTGGATGGGGCCGGGAGAGAGATCGCCAGTGTTAAAAGAGTTAGGAGGACTAGCCTTGGGTTTCTACGTTTAGGTGTGGAATATCCGAAATTTGATCATTTTCCAAAGGGGTTACCGTTCCGGTCATGAATCTTTGTGTAATCCTTTGAGGTCACGCAGCGATCTGAAGGCTGGGAAGCTGAAGTGAGAATATGGGCATGGGCCAAAACCCAAGGATTTTTGGGATGAATCTTCATTATTATATAATTACCAGTTATTTCAGTGTGAAAATCAGAGATTGCAGGGAGTTGACCCATATCCACACTAGCTTGTGAGCCCAGCCATGGCTGCTTCTCATAGTCGCCCGGTCTTGCTGCGGCTCAAAGTGGGAACACAGCAGTTTGCTTGTCAGATACCAAGTCAGACGACTTCCACCAGCCCGGTGTGCACAGGTGCAATAGAGAACCCATGTCATACCTGATGACTCAAAGTATTTCCATGGTGTGTCCATGGGATTGGTCGGTATGGGTCAGCTTCAATGGATGTGCGGACCCCAGACGCTGAAGCTGGTGAAGGGTCAACAATTCAGCCGCAAGCCGGAACTGCGTCCAGCGAGCTGAGGCTTAAAGCGAGCAGGCCGCACACTTGCAGTATCTGATGGTGGTGAAGCCAAGATCATACACCATGCTGAAACCAGAAACTTTATGATTGTAGGTTCCAAAAAGAAGCATTCCAATTTTAAAGGTTGTTTTGGACATGGTGTCGTTTTGATTGGAATGGTCCCAAGTGACTTTCATATTGTTCGGACTGAAAATACCAACCTAAGGATGATAGTGTGGTGAGCCCGAAACAATAAACCATGCCTTATTTACATGCCCATCGGGGGTATTACAAAGCTTCCGAAATGTTTTGCATTGTTACTCTCTCGATTATCATCATCATCAGCGTTATTACCATTATTCTTATTCTTAATTTCGTATTACTATTGCTATGTTATGTTGGTTACTGTATTACTATCGCTACTAGTGTGCTAAACCCAATGTCATAAACTATCCCCAAGTCATCACCATTTCTATGGGTGCGATTTCAATCATCCGCAGTCATTTTGTAGGTAGGTTTATTATTGGCCCACAAACCTACCGTCAGGACTCTGGGACCGGGTCATCCGGGTCTTGGTCAGGCAGCTGTTTCCGCAGCTGGTGAAGCTCGTGCTGCTGCCACTCATCGCCGGATGTGCCCTCGAGTAGCGCGGTTCGAGTCGTGTTTGGTCACCAGTGAGAAAAGGGATGTGGTTAACGCACCATGGCACTATGGTATTGTAATCTTATAAGAAATATGTATATATATGTATATGTATATGTATATATATATAAAATAGAATAATGGGATATTCCAAGTTGGTATAAGTCTTTTTTGTCGTATTTATGAGAGATATCCACAGCACTCGTACATGGCTTATGCACCACGATTCCTGGCAGTCTTCGGGTGGAAACATGGTAAGTTGTGTCTTCCAACACTTTCTACCCTGACTTTGAAAGATCTGTTTGGGTTCATCAGAAACTTTGGGTACACTCCATGGTTCTTTAGATCATTTTCCCCAGGTCATGCGGTGAAAGTTGGAAATATATGATCCAAACATATCCAAACATCTATTACAGATTAATGAATATTAATAATATTCATCTATCAATTATGCACGTCATTTCCAATTTCATATACCCCAATCTTTGGACTACTGTAATTCCCTGTGCCGCTCCAAGGCAATGGGGCGGCTGTTTGGTCGCTGCACTTACAGATGACCTGGATCCAGGCGGCGGACGATTTCCCACTGGCTGGTTTTCCCAGCTCCAGCTCCATCCGTAAAACGGCAATGGGGATTTTCGGATTTGCTGTGTTTGATTACCGGGTATTCAAATGACCATACATATCGAATCATTTTGATATCCATTTCTTTTGGAACCTGCCAATAGTCAGGTTATACTTATATGGCGGTTTGGGTTGGTGGTTTGGAAGTCTGGGAAATCAGAGTTATGTGCAAAATAGATTTGAAAAATGTGTTTTTGTTTTGTGTGTTTTGTATTTGTTTTATCTTTTGTTTAACTAATCTAAATCTAATCTAATCTAATCCTAATCCCTAATCCCTAATCCTAATCCCTAATCCTAATCCCTAATCCTAATCCCTAATCCTAATCCCTAATCCCTAATCCCTAATCCTTAATTCTTAATCCTAATCCCTAATCTTAATCCCTAATCCTAATCCCTAATCCCTAATCCTAACCCCTAATCCTAATCCCTAATCCTAATCCCTAATCCTAATCCCTAATCCTAATCCCTAATCCTAACCCCTAATCCTAACCCCTAATCCTA